TGCGTAATGGGCGGATCGTATAAAAAATTATGTGGAAATACGCTGGCGTATCGCTTTCGGAAAAGTATGGTAATGTTTTGGTAGATAGAGCTTAAGGAGCGACGCTGAAGCACGCTGGAAGAGGGTTGCAACGCATGAATGCACGCTGAATAAACACCTTCCGCCCAGTATTGTGCGGGCTATATGGCGGCCTTGAAACGGCCATCTCGCAAATCAGGGCGGACTGAGCCTGAGAAAATGGGATGCGTCCGAAAATGGCGGAACATCGCTTTATTGTCGTAGTATTTCTTCTCTGATCGAGACACAAAGATGGCGATCGAGAGAGTCCGACTCAACGAAACAGCGTTAAATACATGCTACATTGAGAACGTGGACGGTTGTGATTGGGAAACTTCAGTCGCGTCGCACGGTAGTTGTTACCATACGCAATCGGGTGATGCATTACCAGTCGGTTTACAAACGGCGGTTCGTTCAGTTACTTATTGGGGCGCCAGTGGGTCGCTGAGACAATGACGTCAGCGTAATAACCTCTTAAAATCAATCGTTCACGATAATAATTGTCTTTCGAATTAAATGCTGGGTCAGAGGATTTCGCCTATAAAGGGAAAATCAACTTAGGCAGGCGTTAAAAGAGAGCGTTATTTAAAATGTGATTACTTGGTGACTAGGGTATTGGCGGTGACATATAATCGGTAGCAAGAACGCTCACGAATAATCTTGTCTCGAATTAAGGCTGTGCAAGAATTCTCGCTATAAAAGAGAAATTAACTGTAGCAGGCTAAAGAGGCGTGTGTGTTAATGTTTCTTGTGCAGCAGTACGTTAAGGAACTGGAGGATAAGATGGAGGTACGGCTGTTAAAAAAAAAAAGGCGCCGGAGCCTGTCCAACCGGCTAGCTGCTAATGCATTTGGCGCAAGAGTGAGAGTTAGGAAGGAATAGTCTGATTTGAGCGTTGGAGCCCGGTTATGTTCTAAAATGCGGCGATCAAAATGCGGATTCTTATCTCAGGAACACTTGGTGTCGTAATTTTTGTGATTTCCAGCATACATCTTATTGGCACAAACGTCACATTACAAAACTTAATTCGCATATATATCATCGTATTATCGTTTAGTCGCGCTTGCGGCGAGTTATTGCTGCGAATGTCATACACCCAATTAAAAACGCTAATACGATCAGAGCACGAGTTCTTAGAAACGGGAGCGATGGTCGGTCGCAGACAATGAATTCGTTTAGTGAAGCATTCGGAGCTATCAAACAAGTGTTACCGCGGGGACGTATTGCCAGCGTTAATGGATCCAGTAAATGCCGTTCACAGGAATTATGGGGCAGGACCAATAACAGTAATAGGTAAAGGGATGAAGGCCGTAATACTCGATCAGACAAGTAGCGGTCCACAATTATTAGACGTGTAGCGAGGCCAAAAGCGAAATGACTAGCTCTACTCAGTACCCGTCCCATACAATAATTAGGATCAATGACAGGTCGTTTGGAAAATGTGTAAGGTTCATTTGACCTTTTGTGCAATTAATGTATGGATAGTTCGCTGCGAGCCTCGGCTTCTTATTACTCATAATATAGTCACAATCTAGACATTTGTATAAAGACGGCATTATTTTACCTAATAGGAAATTCTCAAAGAAAAAAGCCATACATAACTTTTTGAGTTCGGGACTGTTAGTATAATGAACGCCATAAGAGTAAAGGCTGGAGAAAGTGATCTCAGAACCGTTCACACACGGTTACTTATAAGTTACTGCTCGAGTATTTTTGGAAGGATACGAAAAGGTACTACGGTGAGTAAACTAAGAGTTGGGTGTCTTAGCGAAACGCGAAAACAAATTATTCTAATTAGTGGTCAGATAAAGACGGGTGGGTGGATGGCGTATGTGAGCCTAGTGTCTGTGAATGCGTCATAAATTACATTCATAGACGCATAATCTGAAATCGTAGAGCTAGGGAAGGAATTTGGGATCGTTGTGCGTGACCGTAACGAGTAAGCATGCTATCCCATTCGCAGAGAGGCATAGCTTAGAAGTAAGATGTTTCTCGTTGAACTCCACAAGAATGCTTACGTCTGTATATTAATTTAATCGCGTCACTTGGGCATGCGTCTCTTAAAGGTGAGGGCAATTGGGAGTTATATATATATGGTGTGTCAAGGACCTAAGATAGTGATTTGAGCAAGTGTTATGTTACGAATAACCGAATATGTCCTCCGATATATCGTGAAGTGTTGGAATGTCAATGAACGTGTAGAACCAGTAAGACGTTCAAATACATTGGGAGTGCGGTCAGCTATAGAATTGTAGTGAGATCAAGTCGTTACTGTCTCAGATCACAACCACCATGCCGGACTAGCCCCCCCGAGCACACACACTCCACCACTACACACACACACACGCCCCACGGGTTCTCCCCGGGCGGCCGTTGGCGATAGACGGCGCGAGACGGACGCGGAGGAGACGGCTACAGGGCGGGCTGCTTATAGCGATAAAGGTTAGAGCTATCGTTCAGGCGACATCACAAGTTGATTGAACGCCGGCACACACGCTAAGCCTGGTCGTTCTAGGTATAACTCAGTTATCTTAATAATGTTCATCCGAAACGTTCTAGTATAGGCGTTGACTACATACGTTTTAGTATATACTATCAAGCTCGATTAGGAACGCTATGTATAGGTACGCGAACCAAAATATGAGAAAGAACATGCGATGAGTTCCACCCACCGCCACCCCAGTGTTTAAGAGCAATTCTGATACGTCCGCATAGCGCTGATCTCGTAAACTTCGTCATTCGTGTGACAGAGGCATAACCAATTTTCCAAAAAAAAATACTACCCTAATAGTCTTCGCCTAACTACAAAGCCCACGGCGGTCACGAGGAACGTCTTTTCTGTGCCCGATTAAACACCCCGCGACAATGCAAATCACACACACAAACATAACAACAATCAAAATACAATAAGAAAACACATATGAAGCGTAGAAAACAAGTAACGATAAAGTTCGATCACAATATAAGTCAGAAACTCAACACATTTGGCATGAACATTCTGATATCGCTGCAATTACTCTCACTCTTGCGTATTTTTATGGCTGTAACGTACGTGGCGTATGCGTATACAGACACGCATTACCGAAACCACGTTATATCTGGATTATATTCTCATAATCCCAGGGCACACAGGGGCCCATGCACACAGGC